AAATGCCCGTAGAGTTACAACTCTAGGACGTAAGCTAACGGAGATAGGTTTTCCTGCAACTTGATTAGCTAAATTTTTAGGTTAAAAAAATCTTCATCAGAGAAATAGGGGTTTGACCTTTAACCTTTGACCTTTGACCTTTGACCTTTGACCCGGTAACAGACGGACAGAAACTCAACATTATAATATAGAAGTTCGTTGAGAGAATGGATGGTATGCTTGAAAACTTACTCAAATGTTAAGTCAATGTGTATAGCAATTTAATATAGTAGTTAAGACGACAAAAAGGAGATTTAATTTATACTTACCATTTCTTACGACATGCTTGCTCTATTTTATCATAAATAGTAAAGAAACTAAGTATGTAGATGTATTATTTTTAGATACATTCTTATGTTTAAGTCATTAAATATTAAGCTTGAAATAAACATAAAATAAAGTTATGGTAGGAGAATATTAAAAGTTCTTTCTATTAAATTGCTTGTATACAGATTAACCGAAATGACGAAAAGTAGTAAAGTTAAAACTTTGTCTTCTCATTGGTGCATTTTCTCTTACATAAAACATACGAACGAAAATGCGATCGTATATTAGTATCCCTCACTGTCGATATCTTGTAGTAAAGTTTCATCGAAACCGTCGAAAAGCTTGATTTTCAAAAAGACGATTTCTGATTAGCCGGTTTTTCACCAACAGAAGGTCGGAACTAAAATCGGGCCTCAGATTTTGACTCCTGACTTGAACCCGGCGTGACCGCCGTGAGTCACGGTGGTCACGGTCACGGCCGTGATCGGGGCTGATATTTTCTAAAACTTCGTGACCGTGACTGACTATCAGTCACGGTTAGTCACGGGATAGGCTTATTTTTCTTTCTTCGAGAGTATAACTGAAATATTTTTGTTGTTTAACATTAAAAAGCTGTTAGCGCGATCCCTGCGGGATTAAAAGTGTCAAACACGATGATACTTGTTTTATTGTAAATGAGAAATCCAGTAACATGTGCATCAATTTTTGAGTTACTATAATGTATGCGATGGGCCGTTGCTACGGTGTCGGTCACGCCTGTGATGGGCAGTTGCTAAGGTGTTTGTGACGGTTTCCATATTAATGCCTGTCACGCCTGTGGGATGGGAGGGTCCAAATTGCTACCCCTATATACTTCGATACTTCTTCCAAATCGTGTTTCGCAAAATCTTGGATTTTTTTCTTCGAGCAGCAACATATTCTTGTCACTTTTAACCACAGAATCCATATATTTAACCCTCGTCACAGTACACATAGTTTAAGAGAAGAAGTTGCGAGTCGCAACAAATCAGAAAGAATGACCGTGATCAAGGCCAGGTCGTCGTGACCGTGACGTGACCGTGACCAAAAAACTTGGCCACGCCGGGCTCTACTCCTGACCCTCGATAACTTACGGGAAAGTTTCATCGAAACTGTCAAAAACCTTGATTTTCAAAAAGACGATTTCTGATTGACCGATTTTCCACCAATGGAGCGTCGGACCCAAAATCCAATCCCAGATTCGGATTCCTGACTCGCGGTAATCTGTAGCAATGTTCCATCAAAATATCGAAAAACTTTCAAATAGAAAATCTCATTTCTTATTGGTCCTCAACTGGCCAATGGAATGTCGGATAAAAAATCCGGCCTTCGATTTGGACTCCTCACCCTCGATAATCTATAGCAAAGTTTCATCGAAACCGTCGAAAAGTTTCATTTTCAAAAAGTCGATTTCTGATTGGTTGGTTTTCCACCAGTGGAAAGTTGGATCCAAAATCCGACCCCAGATTCGGATTCCTAACCCTCGATAACCTATAGCAATGTTTCATCAAAATAGCGAAAACCCTAAAATAGAAAATCTCGTTTCTGATTGGCTTGGAAAGACAGACAGACAAACTTTAAGCGTTTTCAAGCCCACGATTTAAACGTTGTATAACCCTTTCTTTCAGAAAAGGGAAAAATGAAATAAAAGGTTGAATAAGATAAAAAGAACAGCTTCCTAAATTTGAATAACAATTGATTTTTTAAAAAGATGAGTAATTTCGAATTAACTCTCAACAATATATTTACATAGTGTTCGATTGGGCCATAAAAAAATATTTGATCTCGGGGTCGAGTCGAATCTAAATGCGTCTGGGTCATCTGAGGACGGATCATTCTCACTTTATCCATGTCGAACCCCGGAAATCTCAGGTTTGGTCGTTCTAATGTATCAAACAAGTGTAGATCGTATGAAAAAGGTTATACAATAGAAACAAAAACAAAATGTCAAGCAATGATTTTCATCGATTTACTTACACATAGGACGTATGCGTCGTCAAATAAAAAAGTCAAAGTGACTGACTGTTTTCTTGCGCGAGAGGAAAGCAATAATATTTTTCTCTTTCTTTCTCTCTTTCAGCATCATTATGCAGAATAAATTTTTTTCTTCTCATGAATAGAAGCGCTCGAGAACAGCAATAATATTTTTCTCTTTCTTTCTCTCTTTCAGCATCTTGATGCAGAATAATTTTTTTTCTTTTCATGAATAGAAGTGCTCGAGGTCTTAATGGTTACTTGTATGTAGCAGCATCAACAGATGTATGGGACGAGGTGACATTTTCGTGCAGCGCACAGCACACATTCAGTTACCCATGTAAGCACGAAACGCGAAATTGATGCCTTCAAACGCGATTTCACAATAAATCGCGTCCAGACGCGATTAAAAACGGTTTCGCGACGCATTGAGATACAGTTAGAAAAATTCTGAAACGCGTCTGAACGCACTTTTTGTACAGATGACGAAGATATGGAAGGACAACCTAAAGAAATGATCTAAAAGATTATACCATATTTGTTCATGTATTTGATCAAGTGATACAAGATAATGATGCGGTATTGTCGATTCTCCAAGACATTCTTCTAAAAGTAAAAGCGAGCAATCCAATGACTAAAAATGCTTACCTAAGATCAGACAATGCTGGATGCTATCATTCAGCAGAGACCATTTTGAGTTTGCGTCAGCTCTCCAAAGACACCGGCATTACAATAAGGCGTTTTGACTTTTCAGATCCACAAGGAGGAAAAGGTACGTCTCATTTTGTGTATATTCTGACTATTACTATTGTCTTAAAACAGGTCCATCAGATAGATATGCTGCTGTTATAAAATCACATATTCGTCGCTATTTAAATGAAGGACACGATGTTTTAACAGCTGCTCAATTTATAACAGCATGTAATTCTTATGGTGGTGTGAAAAACGTTCATGCATTTGAATGTCAACTGACTTCTCGCTCGAAAAATAAACTTAAAATTAACGATATTATCAAACTACATAATTTTATCTATGAAACAATTGCTATTCGTTCGAATCGCGCTTGGAATGTAGGCACTGGTAAAATGATTATACTTGATGGAAGTGCAAACGTTTCTTCGAAGATTAACTCTCTCGTTTGCGTTAATCCTTCTCCTGAACCAGCTCGATTGATAAACTCTTCTGCGGATGACCATTCGGATGGTGCTGTATTCTCAGTACTTAAAGATTCTCCTGCGTCATATAGCCAATGGCAATCATACTGGACGAGTAGAAAAATTATCAATGAAAGATCTGGCAATGATTATTTATAAGTCTAAGCTAGATGTTGTTGAAAACCAACATTTTCTATCTCTTGAAGTCGAGAGAATCACTTTCAATTCTAACGGCTACAATCATATACCACCGATGGATCAAGACTGGATTCTCCCATTAATTCGAAAAGTGCAGAGGCTACCTCCGAAAGTAAAGCAGTTTCTAAAAACGAAATTTGATGATGGTCAATTACCCGGAATACGATGGCAGCCGAGGGCAGTGGTTGATGAAATGAAAAACAGCAAAGATCCCAGAGACCGGCCTTTACATTTTTGCTCTTTCTGAGCTTGTTAAAGTGAGCACAGTTCGATCATTTTTCTCGCGGCAAAAAGCAACTAAAAACAAAGTGAATATTCCGAAATCATCCACATCCGAAGAACAACTGGCCATCGATTTAGAGCTTCAACTGAATGATATTCGATCGATAGTAGTCAATGAGCATGATATCTTCGAAAATAACTCGACTGTAACTACGTCTAAACGAACGTTATCATCGCTGAGAATGAAAATTTATTGCACACACGAAAAACACCCAGATTTCCACGAAAGCAGGAAGAATAAAGACATATTATACTTCTCCAAAAATGGATATTGTACTGACATTCCAGTTTTAAAAACACGTATTCAACAAGAACAGATAGAGAACTGAAATATACAGTTTTGTAGAGCGCAACTTGCTGTATCTTTTGATATATGATTCAATTTTCTATGATTAACTTTTAGGAAAAAATAAAATGGAATATTGTAAACGAAAACAGTATCATCATATTTTTAGAATTTTATAAAGGCCTTTGTAATGTTTTTTTTATAATTCCTCAAGGGAGGATCGTTGAGAGCAGGCTAAAGCTTTGGATTCATAAACAACTCTACATGCTCTTTCATTTGCAACTAGACATCGGCGTGACCAAAATGTCGTGACCAAAGAAAAAATAAGTTTTTCGATTATAGTTTCAATAGTAAATTTGAGAGCCGAAACCTATTTAATTAATCTTGTTCAGAATTTTCTTCTCTTCAAAATGGTATATAGAAGTCGAAGAATCCGATGATCCATAACAGAGAAAAATGCATCACATTTGTCGTGACCAGTTCTGGTCACGGTCAGTCACGACTTTTCTGGTCACGACAAATGTGATGCATTTTTCTCTGTTATGGATCATCGGATTCTTCGACTTCTATATACCATTTTGAAGAGAAGAAAATTCTGAACAAGATTAATTAAATAGGTTTCGGCTCTCAAATTTACTATCGAAACTATAATCGAAAAACTTATTTTTTCTTTGGTCACGACATTTTGGTCACGCCGATGTCTATTTGCAACACTCAAAATCATAGGTCAAAATTTTTCATATAACGCGCATGCTCGATTGACTCATGGACCGTCTCTTAAAGTACAGCTATAGGCCCCTGTAAAAGTCCGAGAACTTTTCTGACAGCCGGGACTTTTAATTAATAGATGTGTCATGCTTTAAATACACGGAAATAAAAAGAATAGGGTTTGTCAGGGTCGTCGTATGAATATATCGATTTATCACCTAATGACGCATTTTAATATAATAGAATCATACTAGTATACGTTTGGTTTCAAATTACATCAGCACTACAATGAAAAAGGATTTAAAAAGAGATACTATCGCACGTAGAAAATATTGTCTATAACGTATCGATCGAGTCCTCACTCTCTGCGTTGTATCAATTGAAATATTTAGATTTTCAATATGAAAACAAGTTCACTTTTGTAACAATTACGGTGGTATGTAAGAAAGTTTTTGTTATTTCACTCAAAAAAAATATATATATATATATATGATTAACAAACAGGATTTCTATGTGGTTCTCCAAGACCAAAACAATGTCGAATTCGTTTGTATGTTGCTACTCGAGTCAGCTGACTTTGATATCCTGATCCACCATTACATTCTAATGCCCCATTAATGATTCGTGTAGTGGCTGCAAAATCTCCTTGTTTAGCTGGTCCAGCCATATTATTAGCATTAAAAAACCATATTGCAGTTTTGACTGCTATATCTTGTTGTTGTTCAACCAAATCTGGATTGTTAAGAAGATCTAAACCTAAAGCTTGTCCAGCTGCATGATAGTTGCATGGCCAAGAAAGTTGAAACCAGCCACGACCATAATATAATCTTCCTGGTGCACCTTGAACAGCACACCATGATCCAGCATAATGAGATCCACAACCTAGTTAATAGGTAAATTTTATTATTTACTTAAACTTATTTTAAGAAAATTAATCTATGATCAGACTAATTTTTCTTCTCACATCGAATATTCACTACTACGATTATCGAAGATAGGTTTTATATTTATACTAACCTGGAGCACAATATTCTCGAATTACTTTAAGACCATCAGTTTCATGGAAAACATGAGCAAGAAAAACAGCTGCTTCATCTTTATTTGATGGGTTCCAGCCTGAACCCTTAAGACCTTGATATCGACTGCGTCTAGTACCAGCATCAAGTGTGTTGAATGCACAAGCAAAAGTTTGTTCGTTAATAATAGAACCATCACCGCCACCATTTCCTCCGTTTCCGCCATAGCAAGGTCCTCTTTGACAACCGGCACCACAATATGCATCTCCTGTTCCACAATAACCCCACTGCGATAGACAATGATTTCGATCAGCACAATCCTGTCCTTGGATTATATGAATCAAGCCAACCGTAGTACAAAAAAGAAATATATGTCTTATTGATGCCATCAGTTTAATATAAAGCGAAATATAAATGATATGTATGAATAAAATGGATATTAGATAGTACTGAATCGAGTATTTATATATATAACTTCGATTTACAGGTGTGTTTTTTCTTACCCACACGTTACCTGTATGTTTCTTATCTATATGTAGTTAAATCAAAAAACATGATTACGAAGATGTGTTTCAGACTCTGATATTCTTGTAATCACAGAGGATCCGCTAATAAAAGCGTAGAAAGTCATGGGGTTTCACCAATCCTTTATTATTCATATTCTCAATTTCATATGAATCAAATTATATAGTCACTTAAGTCGAATGACGTAGTTCCTTTTTCTATGATTCAAATCTAAATAATCCTACATTCTTAGTGTCAATCAAAACGATACACAGTAAAATGCAAATATAATTGCCGTTGACTACTCAAATTTAGATATTGGCTCTATACATTCAGTGAGAGTGGCATTAGTCGATAAATATTATGTAATATCGTAAATGACGCATAGTTCAACGCTAATTCCGTGTGAACCCATTAATAAATCAGATTGTTTAATTGAAGTAATGATTATTGCGAAGAGGTTTGAAACTAATCGTATAGTAAATAACGCTGTGCTATATTAAGTGTAGTGTCTGTGTAATATAACAACATAAAAAAAGGCAAACTCCCCAAGAATTGAACTATGATGATATATTCAAAGACAATCTACTCTTTTCATTTTGATCATATCTTCGGTGTATTCCTTCAATTAAGTTTTAATATATAATTCCTTCGTAAAATTGTGAATCTATTACTCTTCTGTAAAACATCATATTTCATCAGTTTGAACTTAGATATCTTCAACATAATCTTGGGTTCTGTCAGTTAATATTTATTTAGAGGAAAAAACATTCTAAGTGATCAAAAAATGAGTCGAAAACTGTGATCAGTGAATTTAGATGTCCGTTAAAGATAAAACATTAACAATTTTATTTCTAATCGAAAAATAATCCATTAGCACGTGATTAAGACAATGTTTTAACAGTGGACTGAAGAATATACTCTTGACCATGCGTCCGTTGGATAGAATGACAATCTCTGCGATGTATATCAAAAAACCATTGAGAAGAACAAGAAAAATCCAAGTTGGAGTTTCGTTCTCACCAATCATTTTCATTGTAATTTCACAACCTCAAAGAAACACGATTTTTATATTGCATACTTGTGCGAGTTGGATGGTTAGCTTTGTATGTTGATTACATCGTGTAGACAAGTGGTTAAGTCGAAAGTCCTAAGAACTTTAGCCTAACGGCGCGTGGGTTCAAATCCCACCTCGAAACTCTATCAACGACGCTATCTAACCAGACATTTTTTTCTTTAAAAGAATTTTTCTATTCTTATCATATCAAACAATGGAGATATTTGATTGAGATAGTTAGCAATTATTATCTGATACAAATATTTAATGATTCAATCTTCATATCTTTGAATATTAATTAAATGTTGAAAACATATTTTCTTGATATTCAAATCATGAAATAGAATATCGAAAGAACATCATTAGATTATTTCATGTTTAAAAGAATTAAAAATAGATTTTTCTTTTTTTTATAATTGGAATTTATTTCTTAAAAGTTAATTTAAGAGTCAAAATAGAATATCCTTTTGTATTACACCAAGTAAAAGTAACAATATCAGTTTGACGGCTTGGATCATAAAGCTAAAGTAGCAGTTGTACCGTAAAGATAGCTAACATTAGGATTTGTAGGTCTAGAAGGTTTGTAAACAAGTCGTTCATTACTTCAATGTCCTTCAGATAAAGACGCATAACAAATATCGACATCCAAACCAGCTCGATTAGTATAAATCATAACCCATTGATTAATATAAGGATTTTAAAAGACATGTCCATCCGATCCCTTCATTCACTAGAAATAATCGCTTTACTCTTATCAGATGATATAACGTCACTGCACAAAGCTATTCTTGATGAAAATATCCACCTTTTATATTAGAGACATAATTATTTCAAAACTAACAGAAGGCTTGCAAGGGTACTCACGAGGGAACCTTCCAAGGTGATACCTCTCGTATTGATTCATTTATATCTCATTCAATCGAGTATATTGAGGTAATAAAAAGCCTAAACGGATTTCTCCGCAATCCGCTTCCTTCCAAAATTCTGGTCGTTTTACTGAATTTCCAAGCCATTCCCATGTAGTTCCTGATAAAACTAAACTACGGAATTCAGATCTGAAATTTTATCCATAGTTGGATCTAAGAACCCTTAGAATATCCTGAAAGTATCAGCTAAAAAGAATATTCCTTTCTCCAGATATCAAGTTTTCAAAAAACACAGTATTTTGCACAATTGATCCCAAAAACTGAGCTCACTTAAAAATTCAATATTTCGAGAAAGAAACATTCTTTTGATCTGAAACTTCGTTCATAGTTAGATCTAATGACTCTTAGAACACACCCGGGTAAAAATGAGCAATACCTTCTTTACGAAACCTGTCTCACTCTCATTCTTGGCAATTCTGGGTCGCCACTTTAATTCTGGTAGTTTGTGATCCAAGAACGAAGGAAGAAATGGGTTTTGAGATTTTAGTCATTCCTACTTTGATCCATTTCTTTTGTTGGTTTACTGGACTTGAAAAAGACATTTACTTGACACTTTGATAAAAGTTTGACTGTTGAATTTCGACGGAGGAGGAAAAAATTCTATGAACCTCACCTAGATTTAAGACGCTCCGTCGCCGCTCCTGCATAGGACGTGTGCGTCGTCAAATAAAAAATTCAAAGTGATTGACTATTTTCTTGCGCGAGAGAACAACAATAATATTTTCTCTCTCTTTCAGCGCCTTTATGCAGAATAAATTGTTTTTTTCTCATGAATAGAAGCGCTCGAGGTCTCAGTCATTACTTGTTTGTAGCATCAACAAATGTATGGGACGAGGTGACATTTTCGTACAGCGCGCAACATACACTCAGTTAGTGATGTTTTTAGCGACGAAATATATGAAGGTGTCTTATTCACCGATATGAAATACTTTTGTATGCAATTGTTTGAAAGAGTTTATTTTATAGCAGTGATTTGCTGACTTCACTATTTGAAAACTATGATTAGATGTTCATGTATCAAAACAAAGTTTCCTTTCTATTTTCAAAGTCCCTGATAAAGGATCATTCCGTGAGCCTATTTCGTTGAATGAACATTGTTTTTCGAATTTCTTACTTTTATCCTGAACGTCATGCTACTTTGAGCAAAACGAAAAGTATTCACATTGATATTTATTCAATATAATTTGTTCATTTTAATCTATAAGTATTATTCTTTTTCAATCCCAGCTAAACTTATACTTTGAATTGATTCAGAGAACCACAATATGCGACAAATAATAAGGATGGATGTTAGAGGAGAAGTGCGTATGTCTAGGTTTGGAGGATAGAGAATGGAATGGGAAGAGGATCAACACATTCAGTTTGAGAACATGTTAGAGTCCGTCATAGAGCATTCAATACTTTGGGGCCGTGGCCTTCTCTCGTTAAATTTGTCAAATGAAAAATGTAGGGAAGATAGCAGCGTAGGCAGGAAGCTCAGTTTCTTCTAGCCCAAAATCTTTATTCCGCCCCTAGTTGAAACTTGAGTAAGTTGATTAAACGGAAATTAATTGAATTTATATCTGACAGAGAAAGGTGCAGTTTTTTAAAATAAAGAAAAAACTTCTGGAATGAATAGTTTATAAATTAATGTTAAGAAATTGAGTTTATTTCATAAGAAAGAAAAAAGATACAATTCTGTAATTCATCTCAAAAAGTGTTAATGATGCGATTGAATGCATGGAAGTGTAGATATGCGACATCGACCAATACCATTTGTAAAATAATCAATACAGCAATAAATATAAGGTTCACCATCATCAATAATGTATCTAGTTTGAATATCATCCTCCTTGAGCCAGTAACTGATATCGACACGATCATTAATTGTTATGATATTAAACATGAAGTGAATTCTTCGTGGCATATAAACAAGTATTTCTTTATAGAGATGAGCACCATCTATAAAATCTGGTCGATTTTCGACGAAAAGAACCAAAGTCAATTTCTCCATATTGGTCATGCGTCGAAGCAGAGGCAATATGACTTCATCATATGCCTCGGTTGGCTGACTACAACTTAAAAAAAACGTTGTCAGATTAAGTAGATTAATCTAGAAAAAAACATTAAATAACAACGTTTCAAAGAAAAATTTGTTTACTTTATTATCAATGTTTAATAATGGAGCATCAATAGAATCAATTTTGACGATAAAACTTTTCATTTGATTGAAACGACCATCAAGTAGACGTAAACAGTCATCAATAGTATCTACATTAACATCTAATTCGATTAGAATTGATGATGAACAATTGGCTGATGGAAAAGCACATTGTTGTCTACGATAACATTTTGCATTAATATTCAAATGAGTTAAACGTTGACAAACAGAAAAAAGACATTCATATGCATTCATATTTAAGTTGAATTGTGAATTTGTGTTACCATATTCAATAGTAATCACTTCAAGATGTGTAATTTGTTTAAAAATAAATGCGATTGATGAATCATCTACATACAAAAATTAAATTCTTTCTCTTTTATCATCATCAAATTTCTTACTTGATAAATAGTTTAGAAAAAGTTCAGGTTTGATTGAATATAGAATTAATTTGTTAAGTTTAGGATAATCGCAAGTAAGAAGAATACGTTCCATTGATGATGATTCCAAAACAAGACATTCAATATTATGATGAATTTTAAGTAATATAAATGAACAAAATTGATCAAGTCTAACATTAGACATAGAACATCGTTCATCATACTTTGATATTTTTGTTGTCAAATCGAGATAATTAGTAAATATAGGATCACATGCCAATCGATTCAATCGTTTATTAACACCTAAAACTGAGTAGAGTACATCGACATTATTGAGTTTATTCAATATTTGAATAAGCATTTCATCAGGCAAATCGAGTAATTGAACAGTTGAATTATTCATCATTGGTTTTATTCAATAAATCTTCGCAATGCATCTATTATTTATAGATATATATATATCTGTGTTGAATGACCTACCGTCATCTAGATAAATGATGCTTTGTTTCTTTATCAATCTGAATATTGTTCCGCCGTCCAGTTAAATAATGACTATATCATACAAAGATGAAAGAATACAGTTGTTGACAAAAATGTCTTTATTTTAAAAGCTATTAATCAATGCTATGCCTTCTCTCTTAAATCAGCCGATTGATAATAGTTAAAAAGCATATTGCATAACGATTATAGACAGAGTAAAAGATAAAACAAATAAATAATTTTGTAATAAGAAGTGACATATAAATAACCCTATCACTCTATCCTCTATATATCAAAATACGATCGTAGATTTTAAAACTGTTAAATAAATTTTCACAATAAGTCTCAAATATGTTTAATTTTAAAGTATATTAAAAATAACATCAGTTCTTTTCGACTATACAACTTTGATGATTCTTCCATCCAAATCCATCTCCATCGAGATCTGAATTAGCATTACAACATATTGGAAATCCATTTAAAGTTCCACAATCTTTAACATAAAAAAAAGACAAGTTTGTTCATTTTCCCATCCAAAGCTTTCATCCAGGGAGGGGAGAAACCCAGGGAGAAAGTCTCCCATGGTCACAGAGAAAATTCAGGGAGGGGGATATTCCCATTCTCCCCTCCTCCTTAATCGGGAGGCCTGTTCCCATCCAAATCCATCACGGTCAGGATCAAAAGCTGCACTAAAACAAATTGGAAATCCATACTAACTTCCACAGCCTGTTGTTTCGGTGAAAACAGAAGCGATGATAGTAATTTTTGTTCCATATATTCCATCAATCACTACTTTTCCCCAGCTTTTTAAACTATTTTCCGCCCAATTGTTACTTAAATCGGGATAATTGTTGAGTTTTCATACCCAGACGAGCCAATCAATTTCATGTGTTTGACATGTACGTATGATTTTGATCACATCAATGTCACATAAACCAATGGGTGGTTTGAGGGTGAGGGTGTGAGGGTGAGTCAAGCAAACTACAATTTGTTGGACCTTCTTAAGGGTGTCATCAGGCAGCTTTGAGTTCGTTACTATGGAAAATTATCCGAATAAACATTCAATAATATTCAGTGGTTGCTTAGATATTGAAGTTGGATGGTGGGAAACAAAATGGTGAATGAATGTTAGTACCTTATAATGATTCAATATCTGTAGTATTTATTTATTGTGCCGATACATGAGAAACAAAACACTTAAGCAAGTATAAGACTGTAAATTCGAGACCTTTATGCACAAGTGAGCTGACAGTATAAAAGAGATTAGAATATGCCTATATGAACTGTGACTATAACTATGATAAACTATATCTTTGGCTTTACGGTATGTAGGTACCAATGAAATTTTGAAATCTCACTTATTTTCGAAGTCAAATTATGCATCTACTCCTGATGTGGGGATGTTCTTCGAAAGAGCTACAATACAAATGATTACTACCAGTGAAATATGTCATAATCTTGGAAAAGAATACGAATAAATACAAGCGAACCGGATGCGACTAACCTGTTAATGCAGCAGCAAATGTCAGAAAGTATCGAGCTTCACTTTCACAGCTTGGAAAGTGAAAGGATGCCTATCCGTTACTGACGAAAGGTAATAATGTCCTGAATTCAATGTTTGAACATGAACGAACTTTTTTTGTTACCTAAAACAACTTGCTGACTTTGAGACTCTGACACATGTTTGATTGGATCGACAATAATTTCGATAATCATTGTCTCTCCTAATAATACAAAAATGTTTTACTTTCAATCTATGATGTCTTAGATTTGTCTCCAAATGGAAATGGATTATTTTTCCATTCTTGGAATGTAGCCTCCATCTTCTATATTTGTCGTTTTATCGCAGCACAAATAAAACTCACTGAATTAATCGAATCAGAATCAGCATTTTTAAGAAGTGAATAAAAAGTAACGTGATACAGTAAGAACCGACAAACTCAAAGATCAATTTCGAGCATTGTCTAAGAAGTATGAGAGTGCAGTCGAACACTTTTTGTTGAAATGATGTACTGCACCAATGTTATTGTATTAGGCAACCATATATGGATGGTTGATTGGGAGAGATTTCACGCGCCTTCTTAATATATGAAAGTGCGATCGTGTACTTTCGCATTGAGAGGTACGCCGCATCAATGTTGTTGTAGATGATAGCCATTGATGGGTGATTGGATGGCAGAGATTTCTGCTCAAGCCTCTTCTCAAAGCATAAGAGTGCACTCGTGTATTTTCGTATTGAAAGATACGCCGTACCAATATTGTTATAGGTGGAAGCCATGGATGGGTGATTGATTGGAAGAGAGTTCTGCTGAATTTCAAGCATTTTCTCAAAGTATGAGAGTACAGTCAGGTATTTTCGCATTGAAAGGTACGCCAAACCAATTTTGTTGTAGGTGGTTGCCATAGATGGGTGATTAATTGGAAGAGATTTCTGCTGAATTTCATACATCTTCTCAAAATATGGGAGTGCAGTCGAGTATTTTTTCATTAATAGATACCTCGTACTAATGTTGTTGTGGGTGATAACCATGGATGGATAATTGATTGGTAGAGATATCTGCTGGATTTCAAGCGCCTTCTCGAAGTATGAGAGTGCAATGGAATTATCTCCCATCTCGCTATGCACCGTACTAATGTTGTTGTGGATGGTAGCTAGCATTGGATGATTGGATGGAAGAGATTTCTTCTGAATTTCAAGCGCCTCCTCACAGTGTAAGAGTGCGGTCGAGTATTCTCCCATGAATATATAATAACGAAGATTTTTTCGTCATTTAAATCCGTAAGAAAATCGATACATTCATCAGCTTTAGTGAACGTTTTAATCGAAGAGGCGATACGTCGAAGCTGAGTAATTGAATCTCTTGTTTCTTTATTGTTGCTATTGATGTTTGAATCCAGCCAGACAACAATGAAATTCTCAATAACATGTAATCGCATAGGTCGTGAAGTATTTTGGTGTCTTGTTGTTACCTCGACATCTGTAGAGAAGTAAGACTCATTCTGTGTCTGAGCACTAGCAGCAGTAGTAGTGGTTATTGTGGGTAACTCGCTTGCCTGTTTCGATGGCGTACTTAGTATAGAGTTCGTTGTCCCCATCTTATATATTACTAAACACGACGCGTAAAGTACGAAACGTGTGACAGTGTTCCCTCACCTGTTCGACTCTTCATAGTGCGATATCACTTTCTGTATCTATATATATATATATATACGATGTTTTGCTTTGGCATTTTCTAACCCATCGTATTTTACAACGTCATCAAAAGCACAACCTGTCCTCTAGAGATAAGAAATGAAATAACGAAAGCACACCGTCAGTGCCCACAGAGAACACCAATATTCATTCTGTCTCGGTCTTCTCCGAACGACGAAAAAAGTTGATAGCTATATTTTGCTTCTTTACAGATTATTTCAGGCATCATTTGACAAACATTCGATGATGACTTTGGTAAACAACAATGTCTTCCATTCAAGCACAGAATGACGCAATTAAAAATCAATTGATTTTTCTTCTGTTTATGATCAATCTAATTCGACGGATTTTTTTATTGTACATCACGGCAATGCCATGAACGTTATAGAATGAGCGCACCAAAGAAAAGTATACTTTTCACTGGCAAATCAAGTCTAATACCTCTTCTTTGCGAGTCTTATTTGACATGCACCAAACCCAAATCGTTTAAGTTTGATGAGATTGAACTCGAATCTACATACTCGAACTCGATCGAGCTCCAACTTTCAAGTTCCAGTTCAATTAGAGTTCAAGCTTTATTGGCCCTGGAAGTCATGTTCTGAAAAACAACTGATTTTTTATAAAGTTTGACCAAAGGTTTTCGCGGTCAGGAATCCGAATCTATAGTTGATTTCTGGAAAAAAATAGTTTATTTATTTTTACTAAAAACTTTTTAACTGCTAAACAAGTTTTTTTAAGATTTTTTTACTAAAAACTAGCGGAAAAAAATTTTTGGTGGAAAAAAACAAACTATTTTTTTTCTCCAGGAATCAACTATGAATTCGGATTTCCCGACCCCAAAAACCTTTGGTCAAACTTTATAAAAAAATCATCAGTTTTTCAAAACATGACTTTCAGGGCCAAAATAGCTTGAACTCGGACATAGCAGGATTGAACTATCTTGAGGGTGAGGGTGAGGGTTAAAGTGGTGATATATCTAAGCTCACCGCAGCGGTGAATAGCCGTCATTGGTATACCAAACCACAGTGAAGATGTATAAATAGAGTCCAGGTAAAGAGGTATAGTACTCATCTGTAGAACATTCTTTTAGGTTGATCATAGGATGATGAAACGACCCCGGTATCGATCTCTTCTACCTTTCATCACATTCACCCTCAAGATTGTTCTACAGACGAGTACTATTCCTCTTCATTTGTACCCTATTTGTACATCTTCACTGTGGATCGGTATGTCAGCGATGATTATTCACCGCTGCGGCGGGCTTAGATATATCACCACTTTAACCCACACCCTCACCCTCACCCTTATTTTCTTATCGGACGAGGTTCCGGTCAGTAAAATTAAACTTAAATGGAATAAAGACTTGAATATGATCATTGGCTACTGTTTCAAGTGTATCATTAACCAAATAATTAGCCAATGCATTAATGAATGTTGATTTACCAACACCTGTTGAACCTAATAATAAAATATTTATTTCTTATTTTGTCTGTTGCTTTGATGACACTAGAAGGAATGGGAACTTTTTAATAATCTCAGTACAATGATTTTTCAACAAGAAAAAGTAAGTAATAGTTCCATTATTAAAGATACAACTTACGAAAAAGATTAGCAATAAAGGATAACAAGATTTTTTGAGCGTTCTTAGTGATGAATAAACCAATGAATAATAAGAATATTACCTACGCGTATTTTCTTTTCTATTGTTTATTCTTTTTAGCATTAAAGAGTGCGAAAAAAACTGAAAAATAAATCTTATTGATCAAATTTGATACTCACTGTACATATGATATGATTATATGTGCAAGATGTCTTTTTTGAATGTTAAAAAAGTTATTATTGTCATTTAATACGATATACAATAGAAAACTTGAGCAAACAACATACTGTGGTTAATAATCGTATTTATTTTCATTTGTTAGTAAAAGAAAAAAATGTTAGATTTTGTTAAAATATGAATAATTTGTCATGTAAAATAAGATTAGCTTTTTGAGATAGTTTGAGCAATATGAGCTACTGAGGGATGGTCAAAAAAGTCTTGAGTATCAATTTGAAATGAAACATGTTGTTGTAATAAAGTAATTACTTGTAAAGCTTTGAGAGATGTGCCACCTTGTTCGAAAAATGATTTATCATCATTTATATCAGTTACTGTACAGCCGAGAACTCGACAAAAGACATTTCGTATACGATTGATAAATTCTTGCTTTTGATGCGTTTCAACTATTGATCCTACTGATGATGTAGATAAATTATTTTCCTAAAGAAAAAAATAATAAATGGTTATATAAGTGACAAAATCGATTGAATTACCTGATAATTAATAGTATTTTCTTTTTTGAATCTAATGATCTTGCTTAGTGGTAATTGCAGTTGTGTATGAGAATTCGACTCAAACAGTTGAGTAAGCAATAGATTAAAATGATTAGCGTGTGCATCAATGATGGACTTTTCAAAAGCATCAAGCAAGTAACTCCATGTGCAGTCAATTGCTTCGGTCGTTTTGTCGTAAATGAGTGAAACTTCTAAGTCAAACTTTCCTCCATTACTTTCATGTTGTAGACTATACGGCGAAAGATGACATGAATCGTCAAGTATAATACCATTCATATGATTGTAATCAACTGCATCTGTGTCTACTCTGAATATAGTTTGAAGAAATGGTAATTGCAAATATGAATTTGGTGCACGATGTAAATCAATTAGTTGATCATAAGGTAAATGCGCATGTTGAGTAATTGTAAGAAATATTTGTTGAACTTTGTCAATTAGTTCAATAAATGAGATTGTCTCAAGGATATCGATTGAGATTCGACAAGGAAGAACATTAACAAACATGCCTATTATAGAAGTAAGCTCTGGGCGATATCGATTGAGATGAATAATACCAATGCATGCATCTCGATTGTGTGATGAAATTTGGGCCAAATAAAGATAGAAACATGTTAGACCTAACTGAAAGAGAGTAATATTTAATTGATCAGCACGTTTTATCATCGAACGAGCAATGTCTGATGAAATTTTGACACGCAACGAAGATCCTTGATCCCGACGGCGAGCGGACAATAGACTTGTTTCTCGGGCGCCGAGATCGAGTCGACGATCCCAAGCATAATCTTTTAATGCTTGATTCCAGTAATTTCGAGCGTCTTTCATCAACGATTTTCGTTCGTGAATAGAATAATCAATGTATTGGAGGTGTGGTGGTTGTAATTGTTTACATTCATAAGCCAATTTGAACTGCTCTAAGAATAGATCCAGAGCTCGTCCATCAAATGATCCATGATGAAAATTGAATATAATCACATCATTTGTGCATAATTTGTCCTCTTGCTCATGATTATATCGACGAATAAAATGACAACGAAAAACACCATCATGTTCAGTATCGAAAGGGATATCAACTTCTTCGCTTATTATTCTTTCTTTTTCTTTTTCATCATTATATGTGCTCAAACGAATGGGATAACTAATTTGTTGATGAACTGTTTGACGTAAATAACCTCGATCCACATCAAACGTCAGTCGAGTACGAAATATCCAATGTTGAGAAACAATTTCATTTAATACTTTGACACATTTATTGATAGAAAAGTAACCTGAATCAACTTGCAGAATGGTTGGCATATTGTAGGCAGATACTTGAGGCCATCCTTTGAAACGAATGCGTTCAGCTAACCAAACACTTGTTTGGACATATGATGCAGGACCTTTAGCAATGACAAATTCAAATATAATTAGCTGTAAAGATAAATAAGAAACCTAATTTTATCGAAATCCTCTCTTTAAAGTGAAAAGTCACTGATAAACAAAGTCTTTTACCTTGAATAACATTAAGGTGCGTCCACTCCTTGTTACAAAGTTCGTCTTCGGCATTCATTTTGAGAAAAAGACGGGCATGATCGGTAATTGTTGAATGTCGAAACATGTCTGCGATCTTAACATCGGTCTGTTTGAACTCTTTCCGATATAGTTGATGGAGATGCATAAGCGAGAGAGAATTTCCACCAAGAGAAAAGAATGATATTGATCTCTTTGAAATTGATTTGAGGTGAGGAAGTACTTGACACCAGATTTCAAATACTCTTCGTTCCATTTCTGTTAATGGTTGATCAGTTTCGTTCGAGGAAACAGAGAGAAAGTCAAAATCAACTGCTGGCAAAGCTTTTCGATCGATTTTTCCATTTGCATTCAAAGGTAATTTATCAAGTATAATAAATAACGATGGAATCATATAAGGTGGTAAACGTGATTGACAATGTTCACGTAATTCTTTTTCATTAATATCACAACTTTTTTGAACATAAACAATCAAATGATCATCATTCCATTTAATAACAACACAAGCAGAGATTGCTGTATGTTCAAGTAAACATTGTTCGATTTCACCAAGTTCAATGCGTTGTCCATGTAATTTGATTTGATGATCTTTTCTTCCTCGATGATGAAGTCGACCATCAATATCCATTCTAACAAGATCACCAGTTCGATAAAATATTTCACCATTGATTTCAACCAATGCTTTCGTTGTCAAATCATCACGTCCTAAATAACCAGCAAAGACACCTACACCTCCTATGTATAATTCACCATCTTGACCCACGATAGAAGATTGTAAGAATTCATCCATAACCACACATCGGTAATTAGAAAGTGGTATACCAATTGGAATGCTCTTTCTATCGGTTAGAACGTTCACAAGATGGAAGGTCGAAGCTATGGTGGTTTCGGCTGGACCATATAAATTCCACACCTTACAGTTTGAAAAGGCGATGTTTATGATTAAAGTAATTAGCTTAACAGAGAAAGGTTCACCTAGAAAAATAAGTATGCAATCTAAAAGAGACATCATTTATTTGTTAGTAACTCACCGATACTGCAAAGTGAACGAAGATATCTCAAAGCATCCTTATTGTTACATTCTTCGACAAAAGTGAAGAAACTGTGTAGTAAACTCGGTACGGTGTGCATATATGTAATTTGTTTCGTCTCTAAAACTTCGGACAGATAGTCAAAATCCATAGTTTCTCCGGGATGAAGCATAAACAGTGTAGCACCAATCGTCAGTATACCAAGTATTTCTTGAACATGAATGTCAAATGAACATCGTGCCATTTGTACAACTGTATCGTTCTCGTTAAATGTGTCAACATAAATCAAAGAATGTATACATTCACTGAAATTTTCATGTCGAACTTGAACCTATAAGAAAGCACACAATTAATCACAGATCAGTGAACTTATTTTGAACTAACCGCTTTAGGTGTTCCAGTTGAACCACTTGTGAAGATAATGTAAGCAATACTCTGTGGTGTTACTATGATGTTTGATAATCGATCCGCATCAACATCACTCTCCATATCATTGCTAGTTAATACTAAATCAATATCAAGTGAGATAATATCATCAGTAAATTTAGTTTTTGTCAAATGATGATTAAGAACAAGACGACTTTGAGTTTGTTGTAAAAGTGAGTACAAACGATGTTGTGGATCTCGAGGCGATAATGGACAATACACACCACCCACCATCTCGATTGCCATCATTCCAATCACCTAAACAAAATATTCATCTCAGTATTCTGGTCAATCCACTCTTACCATTGACAAACTTCGCTCCACACATTGACAAATAACTTTACCTACAATCACTCTTTGTTCATTCACAAGATTCAAAGATAAGAGTTGAACATAATATAAAAGCTCAGCATACGTTAAAGATTGTTCATCAAGTTCAACAGCTAATTTTTGTGGATGTTTCATTGTTTGATTGACAAATTGATGATGAATACAAGTGAGAAAAGGAAATAGCACTTGTGTATTATTCATTGACTTCATAAGTAATCGTTCATCTAGTGTTATTAATGAAAATTCATAAATTGGTCTCTTTTTCTGATTATCAGTAAATGAAAAGATTTGTTTTAACATTGAATGAAATTGTTGTGATATCTTTTCAATTGTCTTTGCATTGAATAAATCGAGTGATGCATTGATTGTGCATGAAAATTCAGTCATATTTGGATCATCTTGAATAATAAGAGCGAAATCAAACTTAGTCATTATTTCATCTTCACTAAACTTGTTTGAAAAAGGTATCGACGAAAGTTGACTATCACCAATCATTATCTCATTTATCCTGTTCTGGCTTCTATCTGATTGAAATTCAAACGATATATCAAGAAATGCAGCCTTTGAAATGTTAGAATGTTGATTGAGAATACGTTGAAGAGGAAAATAAGAATATTCTAAAGTATTTGTTGTTATCTCTTGAACGTGTTCAAGTAATTGACGGAAAGACCAATGAGAATCTAATTGACATCGTAAAGGAATAATATTGTCAAACATTCCAATGATTGACATCAGCTCTTCGTTGAATCTAGTATTTGGGTTGATTCCAACACATAAATCTTTTTCTCCATTAGTTAACTTGAACAAGAGTGCATAGAAACCAGCAAATGCTAGATGTTCAAGTTTTGTATTGTTTGCTGATGAATAAGATTGAAGGTCACGGGAAAGGTGTTCACCAAAATCGAAAGAAATAGATGTGCTTTGACCAGTTCGATGTTCATTCTCTAGCGGATATCGATCAAATGGTAATGATAACGACTGATCGAGTTTGTAATCATGAAGAGTATCAAGCCAAAACATACTGGCAGCAGTCATCGGCATGTGTTGTTCGATATTTGCATCTAAAACAACAAGAAGAAAGCGAATGAAAATGAAGAGCAGAAATGTTTATATTTACAGTCCAGATAACGTAGACCAGTGCTGTCGTCACTTATTAATTGACCTATTGTATAAAATTGATTGAGATCGTGAAGAAAAACATCCATCGATGGAAAATCAAACATAGCATGATGAAAATTGAAAATAATTAGATCTTTATCCGAAAGAAGATCATTTGAAGAGATTTGTGCGTAGTAAATAATATGGCATCGAAACACGAGTCCCTGAGCAAGATCGAAGAGTTGAGAATTTCTTTGTTCATTATATATAATATTATTGAGTTGTTCATCTGTTTCGAAAATGCTTTCAATACATGAAAATAAATTGTTGTTCTTATCATTATAATCAATGATTTGTTGAGTCAGCTGATTATTTTGTTTATCAAGTGTGAGTGAAGTATGAAGTGCTTGATGTTTAATGAGAATATTGTGAAGAGCTTGTCGAAGTTGAATGATTGATAAAGTGAGGCCCGATGATAGATGAAAGAGAAAAGGCATATTGTAGATTGCTAGAGGTGATTTGTCAACATGGAAACGAGTTTGTTCATCGTGCCAAATACGAGCTTGTGCGAAAGATGCCGGTGCTAAAAAACGTTCATTATTTATCAAGTTTTTGGGGGAAACATGCTGGACATCTCTTCAAATTCTTTGTTACCTCAGCTTAGATGAATAAGTTTTTGTGTGATCTATCAATTTGTATCAGCAAAGTCACTGTGTTATTCTTCGTGTCCTACTCGCATGTAAGATCTTGTTTCAGGGTATCTTGCTACTCTAGAGACTACGCTTCTAACAGTTTATCACGAGCAGTTGATAATACTTGGATAGCTGATGGTAGTTGTGGGTATTTTATGGACAGTGGAACGTTTTTCCGTTAAGATGCTTTCGATCTTTTAAGTCATTAACTTGTTGAAACATGGTTTATTACTAAATATTTGTAACGGATGGGTCGTATATAATGAAACTCTTAGTATTTTGACTGTAACGTGTTTTTCATTTCCATTCTCAGACCTGGATCCAAAAGATGCATCGTCAAATTCTCTACAAAACTTGATGAAACTTATTTTTATGAAAAGCAAAAGATAAAAATGAAACGAAGAAACCCAACAAGTATAAACTGATCAACTTTCCTAAGCTGAAAACCCATTTATTTCAACTGCTTTCATTGACATGAGTAAGATAAGAAGAAGAAAATATACGTATTTTATAGCGCTTGAAACGCTCTTTCTGTCAAGCAATATTAAACGAACAAATGTTAAATCAATCTCTGAAGATTGCATTGGTTTTATTCTTTTTGAGACTTTCGAAAAATCAACTAGTTTAATCTATAGCTTTCGGATTTCATGAGAAATGTTGCATGAGGAAGCCAAAATTGCAGCTTTTGAGGTCGAGTTTCTTTTACTTTGATGAGAGATGACTCCCGTATCAGATTCAGCAACATGAGTTTACCTTAGAGCTTACTTTATACTTTTTTTCGTAAACTCAGCTGGCGAAACAGCAGAATTCGGTCATTCTTTTATAAATTTTCGAATGTTCGATTTTTCAACGATCATTTTCTTTTGAACAAGCTTTAAACTATATCATGAGAAAGAGCGTACTTCAAAGTACTCAAAAACATTTTTACTTTTGTTTCGTTGTCTCTAGAGTTATTCAACAAGACTTCAAAGCTTGTAAACCAAAATAGCTTAGAAAATGGGTCCGTTTCTACTTGATGGGTTTTCTTCGTTTCATTTTTATCTTTCACTTTCCATAGAAATACGTTTCATGAATTATTGTAGAGAATTTGACGACGCATCTTTTGGAACAACAGTCAGGTCTGATGATAGAATGGAAAAAGTTATAGTCAAATACTTAGAGATCCATTATTTATGGTTCACCCGTTAGGTAAGGAATTGTCGGCGGTAGTATCACATACCGGAGCAGTTTTCAACAGACTACGTAAGCAAGACTCTGTGGCATGTTTGTAGCAGTAAATGGCTGTGACGCTTCACTTCCCTTCTCTTATTTGTATGACTTCTCCTTTATTGTTCATCTTGACGATATGTGTGTGCTTTTTCTCTTCTCCTGTATGGCTGGTATATAAGCATGTGTTCGTAGTGACATAGACAGGACTAAAGTGATATGCTAGCTCATTAAACATCATTACCGAGTATAACGGCATAGCTACTCTACCAGTTCGTGACAACACTGATAGCATGGCGCTTGTATAGGTTCTCTTCTGATAATTGTTCCAGTGCCCGGGTATTCCGAACTGAATAGTTTCATGATGATATTAGGTTAGTAATCATTGACTATTTTTGTTATAGAGCAGCCTCATTCTCCATCTCCCATGAGATCTTTTATAAATCACGAAAAATGATTCAGTCAAAGTGCGATTACAAATAACGAGTAGTCTATGAGAAGAAGTGAGCCTCTCAATATTTTGACTGCAACGCTTTTTCTTTTCAACTTCTCAGTATGCTTGTTTTTCCAAAAGTTGCGACGTCGAAATCTTTTTCGTACCCTGATGATGCTTATTTTTATAGAAAGTGAAGGAGATAAAATAGCTAAATACTGCTCAACTCTTCGAAACCGACCACCTTCCATATGGGAAAATCGTTTTGTTCACATATTTTTATTGAACTGAGTAATAAAAAGGACGAGAGGAATATACGCTTTTTAGTCCTTGCAAAGCTCTATCATCCGGCATCAAACGGATAAATACTAAGTCAATCTTATAAGCATGCATCGATTTTCTCCTCTTGAATATGTTAGAAAAAGCCAGGCTATATCAATCTGCAGATGTAGAGGTCATGGAAAATGTTGAATAACGAAACCATAATAGCATCTTTCCAATTCGAATTTCTTTTACTTTGAAAAGAAATAAATTCTGTGTCATATTCAGAGGTGTGAGTTTATCGAATCAGTTGCCTCTTAAAATCAGCCGACACAAAATAATAAAGAGCAGATTTTAGTCATTTTGGCCTGAATATTTTGAAATTTTTCATTCTTCTATGATCATTGAGGCGGTATACACGATCTTTGAACTATGTGACAAGAAAAAGAACTCTTGAAAGGACGTAACAAATATCTTTACTTTCGTTTCGTTGTCTTTAAAGTTGTTTAAAACACTCTGAAGTTTTTAGAAACAAATGTCTTTGAAAGTTAGTCTGTTTCTATATGTTGAATGTTCTGTATTTAACTTTCTATAAAGACGAATATAATAAAATTTTTTGCAGAGAATTCGATGGCATATCTTCTGAAAAAATAACGGATCGAAGGATTGAAAAGGAATTATATTCATTTCAATCGATTTCGAGCAAGAGATATATTACATCATTTAGCTTAGATACAATCATAAACAAAAATAAAGTCTCAAGGACACTTAGATATCAATAAACAGTGACAAAGATCAAGATTTTAAGTACAAGAGTAAAAACAACTTGAGTATGTCACATATTTTAGTAAAAAACGAAATATTATCATTTATATACACTACGCGTTCTATAGCTCGCGGAATTTGAACAACGTTTAAAAATGTTTTACTGAACATCAAACGAAAAGGAAAAATCTCAGAACTTCCTATCAACCGGTGAAATTCCATGAGCCTCACTCTGGTATAACTCATGTAAAAATACAACATACGAGTTTTCCTTTGTATGAATGATCTCTAATTTGTTAGTCACCTTTTAAATATTCATTCTTCACCCGAAAAAATACATAAAAGAGACAATGAAATTAAAATTTACAAATAACCAATGGTAACATCCATTCTTGTCATTTCTCTTATGAACACCTTCTCTACAGTTTAAAACGTCGACTATTTCCCACAACTTCAGATGATCTATGTGTGAAGCTTCTACTAGTGTTAAACAATCATTCACTTCGCTTAGAATCATTTCACACATGAAATTATCTAACGATGAAAGAAGGACAAAAAAGCAACCTAACGATCTTGATTAGCACATCTTTGAAAAGTGTCTTATACTGACATGCAACTCACATAACAAAAACTCTATATATAGATTAACCAACCTCTCTCAGTAACATTTGCTTGTCGACAAAACACTACTTCTTGCATTTCTTCGTTTTCTTCTGGTAAAATAAGAGAAAGTTTAGGGATAGATAGAACACATTGATCCATCTCATTAGTGATTGCTTTTGGTGTAAATAATTGTTCGAAAAGATACTCAAATCTTCGAGCTATAATTCCAACCGTTTTTTCTTCGTACAGATCTCGAGAGCAGACGAACTGGCATGATAGTCTACCATCTTCCAGTGTTGGATTGTAAAGAAATGTTAACATAAAATCAAATTTAGCTAATTCAGAAGATTCTTCTAATGACATTTGTTTCAAATCTGTTCCAATTAAAGTGAGTTCATCGGTGTCAGATGAAACAGTAATAAAATCAAATACTGTCTCAAGAAATGGAACATTCGATTGATTAACATGAAAATCTGCAAGAATATGTTGCAGAGGATAATGAGAATGTTCAAGAATTGATAAACAATTATCTCGAACATGTCTAACAAGATCATCACATGGCCAACGAGGATTAAGTTGAATACGATAAGGTAATGTTGAAACAAACATTCCAATCATATTTTGTAATTCAGCTTTGTATCGATTGGCATTGAGGGAAGCAACAGATAAATCATTTTGACCATGAGTTAATTTGAATAAAAATGCATAAAAACAAGATAATCCCAGTTGAAAGAGTGTCAGATGATGTGATGATGCATAATTTAGAAATGATGTAGTTTGATCATTATTGAATGATATTTGAGTTTTAGATGATAAACTTGATCGTTGATTTGTAGAGAAACGGTGTTGATCGACTGGCAATGATAATTGACGTTCGAGATTGTATCCTTCAAGTTGTGAATGCCAAAAGTCACGCGATCGTGACAAATCCATTTGATGTTCATAAACAGAATAATCAAGATATTGAAATGTATTATCATCGATACACAATGAACAACTACTTTCATAAGCAACAGACAAATCACGTAGGAAAACTGATGTAGAAGCTCCATCAAATGCTGAATGATGAATATTAAATAATACCATATCATCATTCATCAACAGATCTTCATCTTTTTCTAATGAAAGATAATCAGGACGCGAACGACGAAGAATATGACAATCAATTACATTTCCTTTTGATAAGTCAAATAATTGAGAGTGATTTAATATTTCATCGATTGTTTTATTAATATTATCATTCCGAAGATTAATTATTTCGAATCCATATGATTTCATATCTTCACTATCACTAACGGTATTCACTTGTTGTATAATAGTACCGTGACTATCAAAATAAAGTGCTGTACGTAGAATATTATGTTTCATGATGACAGATTGTAATGCATGCTGTAATCCAGTAATCGATACATGACTTTGGAGAGATGAAATACGATAAAGTAATGGAATAGCATAGATCATATTGTTATTTTGAGACGAAAAACGAATTTGTTCATCAAGAAATATTCGTTCTTGAGCAAATGATGCTCGAGCTAAAATGTGACAGAGAGGAAATGATGAGAAAAGTTTGTTTTTGTTTTTACCTTGATTGACATGTAATGAAGACCAACAATCTTCGAAATGTTGTTCAGTATTAATAGCTTGATGAATGAGTTGAGCGTGATCAATCATTGTTGGATATTGAAATAGATCAGAAATAGAAAGAGATTTTGTTTCTAAATGCAATGTTGTTTTGTATTGATGATAGAGTTGCATAAGTAGAAGAGAATGACCACCGATTGTGAAGATATTTGTATCGATTGAGATTTGTTTCTGATGAAACATATCACACCAAAGAGTATGAATTAGGGCTTGAATTTCATCATTAGGTAGTTTGATTTCTAAATTATTTGTCTGATTTAACGGTAAAAGATGAGCAGAAGAAGGAGAAGGAAGAAGCTTTCGGTCTATTTTTCCATTTGCATTCAAAGGTAATTTGTCAAGTATAATAAATACTGATGGAATCATATGAAGTGGAAGATGTGATTGACAATGTTCTCGTAATTCGTTTTCATTAATATCTAAACTTTTTTGAACATACGCAACCAAATGATCATGATCCCATTTAATCACAACACAAGCAGAGATTGATGTATGTTCAAGTAAACATTGTTCTATTTCACCAAGTTCAATGCGTTGTCCATGTAATTTAATTTGAAAATCTTTTCGACCGATATAATGAAGTATACTAGCGTTGTCCATTCGAACAAGGTCACCTGTTCGATAGAATACTTCGCCATCAATTTCAACGAGAGCCTTTTCTGTCAAATCATCACGTCCTAGATAGCCAGCAAAGACACCTACACCTCCTATGCATAATTCACTATCTTGATTCGTAGAGCAAGGTTGTAAGAATTCATTCATAATCATGCATTGATAATTAAGAAAAGGTCGACCAATTTGGATATTCCTAATATTAACTTCGACATCAATTAGATGGTATGTCGAACCAAGTGTCGCTTCTGCTGGGCCGTATAAATTCCAAATGTGATGAGTTTTTGCAAGATGACGAGTCAGAACCTTTACTACTTTGCAAAAAAGTGTTTCACCTAAAATCATATAGAAAGACAAACATTTGTCTTTTTTTCCTCGTAATGTCACTTTTACTAACCGACGCAACAAAGTGATTGTATAGTGACCAATGGATCAGTTATATGATTATTATTGATGGTGTCACATAATTGATGCAATAAAGTGGGAACAGCTATTAGATGTGTAACCTGCTTGCTTTTTAGAGTTTGTAAGAGATAAACGAACTCCATGTTACCATGTGGATGTAGCATAATTATTGTTGCATTGCATATCAAACTACCTACGATTTCTTGCACATGTGCATCGAAAGTGCAGGCAGCCATTTGCAGTGCAACATCATTAATGGTTAAAATGCCAGTGTGAATAAAAGAATACATGAAACTTGTGAAATTGCCATGTCGTACTTGAACCTATAAAAAATCACACAGATAAAACATAGATTTGTCTAAACGAATCAGGCAAACCGCTTTAGGTGTTCCAGTTGAACCACTTGTAAAGATTATATAGGCGATGTTATCGGGTGTCACTAAGATATTTGACAGTCGTTCAAGATGAACATCATCTAATACGTTGCTGTCGACCAGAAATAAATCAATATCAATCGAGTTAACATCATCATTGAATTTAGTTTTTGTCAGATGATGAAGAAGAACAAGACGACTTTGTGTTTGTTGTAAAATTGCATATAAACGATGTTGTGGATCTCGAGGTGATAATGGACAATACACACCACACACCATCACAATTGCCATCATTCCAATCACCTAAAGAAAATATTCATCTCAATTCAATTCAATCGGCAACTTATTCTCTTACCATTGACAAACTTCGTTCTACACATTGACAAACAATGTCACTTACAATAACTCTTTGTTCACTCAAAAGATTCAAAGATAATACTTGAACATAATATAAAAGTTCAGCATATGTCAGAGATTGTTCATCAAGTTCCACAGCTAACTTTTGTGGATGTTCCATTGCTTGATTGATAAATGCATGATGAATACAAGTGAGAGAAGGAAATAACACTTCTGTATTATTCATTGATTTCATAAGTAATCGTTCATCTGGTGATATTAATGATAATTCATAAAGTGGTTTCTTTATTTGATCATCATCATAAAATGAAAAGAGTTGTTTTAACATAGAATGAAATTGTTGTGAAATCTTTTCAACTGTCTTTCTATTAAATAAATCGAGTGAAGCATTGATTGTACATGAAAATTGATTCATCTCTAAATCATGTTGAATAATAAGAGCGAAATCGACCCTACTCATTATTTCATCTTCACTAATCTTGTTTGAAAAGGGTATCAAACAAAGTTGATTATCACCAATTCTTATTTCATTCTTTCTCTTTTCAATTCCATTTGGTTGAAATTCAAATGATATATCAAGAAATGAAGCTTTTGAAGCATTTGGATGTTGATTCAAAATACGTTGAAGAGGAAAATAAGCATATTTCAAACTATTTGTTATTATCTCTCGAACATGTTCAAGTAATTGATGGAAAGACCAGTGAGGATCTAGTTGACATCGCAAAGGAATAGTATTGCCAAACATTCCGATGATTGACATTAATTCTTCTTTGAATCTAATATTGATATTTATTCCAATACATAAATCTTTTTCGCCATTAGTTAACTTGAATAAGAATGCATAAAAACAGGTAAATGCTAGGTGTTGAAGCGTTATATTATTAGATGATGAATAAGTGAGAAATACATGTGAGAGATGTTCACAAAAATCGAACGAAATTGATGTGGCGTAACCAGTTCGACAATCATTTTCGAGACGATATCGATCAAATGGTAATGATAAAGATTGATCGAGTTTATAATCATGAAGAGTATCAAGCCAAAACATATTTGCAACAGTCATAGACATTTGTTGTTCGATATGAGCATCTAAATGCGAAAAGAAAGAGAATGAAACCAAAAGAAGATACGTTAATATTTACAGTCAAGATAACGTAGAGTAGTGTTGTCATCAAATGTTAATTGATCTGTTGTATAAACTTGATTGAGATCATTAAGAAAAACACCCATCGATGAAACATCAAACGACGCATGATGAAAATTAAAAATAATTTGATCTTTTTTATCTCCAAGAAGATCATTTGACGATATCTGTTTGTAATAGACAAGATGACATCGAAAGACAAGACCTTGATTAAGATTGAAGAGTTGAGTATTTCGTTGTTCATCATATATAATCTGATTGAGTTGTTCATCTGTTTCGAAAATACTTTCAATAAATGAAAATAGATTGTTGTTCTTATCATTATAATCAATGACTTGTTGAGTCAGTTGATTATTTTGTTTATCAAACGTCAGTGAAGTCCGGAGTGATTCATGTTTGATGACAATTTTGTGTACAGCTTGTCGAAGTTGAATGATAGATATCGTGTGACCGAATGATAGACGATAGAGAAAAGGCATATTGTGCATTGCTACATGTCTTTTGTCGGGAGGAAAACAAGTTTGTTCATCGAGCCAAATACGAGCTTGTGAGAAGGATGCTGGTGCTGTAAAAATGAATTATTGGAGAAAAAAGATTAGATATTTCTTTAAACTCCTTCGTACATGACGTTGGACGACCGATTCTTATGTAAAAGGCATCAGAGTCTATCAACTGAGTCGATGTATTATATTTCGTGTCTTATTTGTGTAAATACACGTTTCAGAGCATATTACTACTCCAAAATAGTAGTCTGCCACTAGTTTATCAAAAGTACTTTTAAGTACGTTGATAGCTGAATGTATTTATGGGTAGTGGAATGGTTCTTTAATAGGATGTTACTGGCTGTCGAATTCGTTAAATTGTTGAAGCGTATTTTATCAAAAAATATTTGTAGTTAAACAAACGCTAGAATAAGTTTTTATGTAATGCAAAGATTTTTAGCAAAGTATTCTATTTGGGTTTTGTGCGATACTGTTAGTAAGGTACTTGTATATATTTCCTTTTGGAAATCTATCCAGATATCCATAAGTGTCTATTGTCAGTCGAATATCTGTATAGTGATCATTGACTATATTCGGTACTGAGTATATTTATTCGCCATTTTTTGTGAAATCTTGTATAAATTACGAGTATTAATTTTATTGGTAGTTCAAGTGAATATAATGAGTGAGTTATGATCAATGTGCCTCTTATTATTTTGTCTACAGCGTTTATTATTTTAATCTTTCAATATGATTGTTTTTTTTTCAGAAAATGTGCCGTCAAAATCGCTTGAACTATTTGATGAGATTTATTTCTCTAGAAAGTGAACGAGAATAAAAGATATGAAGAATACACAACTCTTCGAAACCAACTTCTAAAGTGGAAAAATTATTTTGTCAAAATGTTTTATTGAGTTGACCAGTTATGTGAAATGTGAATATATATTTTATGTTCTTGAAAATCTCTATCAACCAGAATTGAGAGAGTAAATATTCAATCAATATGGAGATATACATCGTATTTCTCTTCTCTGTCGTGTGTTCAAAAAAATGCAACGTATCTAACTGTGAAGTTGCTGGAAAATGTTAGATAACGAAGACAAAAGTATATCTGTTAAGATCAGATTTGTTTTAATTTGATAAGAAAGAAATTCTCTATCGTATACAGTGATGAGAGTTTATCTAACAAGTTGCTTTTTAAAGCGAGCTGGTGAAAATTTTAAAAAAGTATATTTTGGTCTTTTTTCACTGAATTTCTTCAGATTTTTGATTTTTCAGTGCTTATTTTGGTTTGTATGGGCTTTGAACTGTCTAAAAAGAAAGATCACTCTTCAAAGCATTCGACAATCATAAATATCCCGAAGTTTTAAAAATGAAATATCTTTGAAAGTTGATCTGTCTCTACGAGTTTAATATTCTTTATTTAACTGCCTCTTCAACTTTATATAAAAACAAGTCTACTAACGTTTATCCACAAAGAATTGCACGAAGCATCTTCTGAAAAAATAACAGATGGAAAGATTGAAATAGAACAAAATTATGGTCAAAATACTAGCAAGGTCATGCATCATAGTCCATTCATTAATACATCTCATATACTCAAATTTTGATTATTCTACAAGTGACCAGAGATGTGTACCGCCCGCGCTCTAATGTTAAATTTGACTCATATTTTGGCAGCTGCGCCACCGAAAACAATATTGAGCGCAGCCGCCTCACTGCTAAATTGGCCGCCTGGCGGCTGCGCTCAGATCATATTGTCTGCCAATATTTTTTAGATCGAACCTCGAAAGACAAAGTCAGTTTTAGTGCCTGCGGGCGACGTCTGTGTATTTTTTGTGCTAAATTGAAAGTTAAAAAATAAAGTGGCAACACAGGATAATTCTTCTTAAGAGAAATCAAATCTTATTAAACTCTACTCCTAATAGTTCTTAATTATCAGAACATCGTAGTTTTATAATACTCGTTATGGGCTACGCCTTTATATCTTTTTCTTTCAAGTCTTTTTGTCACATATACTAGATAAATATATGGGTAGTTTCGATTATCTGTTTCTCTGAAATATTTCAAGGGAGGGGGGGGGGGACGCTATGATCTCAAATAGCATTCATATCAAATTTTATACTAAATGAAAACCCGTTAAAAAAGTGGGATTTATGAGAATAACTGATAATCCATATGATGACTACGGACTAGAGAATTATGGAATATTAGGAATATGGTTGGATACTATCATGCGTAATCAGGGGCACAAATATAAGGTCTTTAGAAAATGAGTTTCTTTATCAGACTTCGTAGACCTTTCTTCATTGATCATTTCGGTAAAAACAATTTTTAAATTTCATCAATAGTTGATGATGCTGGAGTAGAAATACTCAAAAACGTCTTAGCCCCAGTAGACAGAACTACTTGAGATTTTACAGTATTTTGACTCCAACATCATCAGCTATTGATGAAATTTTAAAATTGTTTTTACCGAAATGATCACCGAAGAAAGCTCTACAAAGTATGATAAAGGAACTAATTTTCTGAGAACCTTATATGTTTTGTCACCAATTACGCATGAAAGTACCCAACCATATTCCTAAAATTCCATAATTCTCTATTTCGTCGTCATCATATGGATTGTCAGTTATACTTATAAATCCTATTTTTAACGGGCTTTCATTTCGTATACAATTTGTTATGATTGCTATTAGAAATCATAGCGTTACACCCCTGGAAAACTTTTTTTACAGATCCTGTATCTGTCGATATTTTATATCAATAAAAGTCTCCTCTGATATTAATTAATTCGTAATCCATGTTCATTAAAAATGAATGTAATATCAAGTCTATCTATCTCAAATTTAATGAATTTTACCAAACGAACCATAAGATTTATATTAATCTTGTATTTGAGTTTACCCTAACTTAAGCGTAGGATAAGTGAATACAGAAACCGGTGACACATCAGCATCTCTATCTAGTTAAAATTTGTTAAATTGAGGATTTTTTAAGGTTCTGCTACTTGTGTAGTTTTGTTCATAGGTAAGTATCATGAAATGAGACATTATTTATAAAGAAATACTAGTCCAATAAAGTTGCAAAAAGACTGAGAAAAAAATTCTCTCTGTATCATCAGGCGGCCGCCACTGGATTGAGGTTTACATCGTCTTCCGCGTCGCTCCCATCCCGTTTTTAGACGCCGTGCACATCTCTGCTATTGACATCCATTTCATTAGGTTTTGATCAAAGGATCTGTTACACAATTTTGTTTAAATATATTCGTTAACAAAAACAATGTCTGAAAGGTTTTTTAACTGTATACAAGCAGTCAACAAGATCAAGATTCAAAGTACAAAAACAGAATCAGCTTGAGTGTAACAGACGTTTTAGAAAGAAATGAAATAAGATTCATATACGATAACAGTTTCAGAGGATACGGAACATCGATGACGTTTCTAATATCTTATTGAATGTTAAAACGAAAAGAAAACTATTAGAAAAAATCTTAGAAATTCTTATTAAATGGTGAAATCCCATACTTCCACTAAAAGCTCATTTATAAACACAATATAATTATATCAATTTTTCTTCTCACGAATGATCTCGATTTGTTAATCAGTCTTTAGAAATCAACTTCTCGTCGGAAAAAATACATAAGAGAGATAATCGAACTTAAGTTATAAACTTCAATATTTCGTCTAATAAATTGACTTAATATTCGGTTGAATTTAGCATCAATCATATATTTTCGACTATTGACTACTCGATATTCTAGGAAACCTTGAGTTTGGAGCTTTTTAAAATGTTAACTAATTGTAGACATTGTTATCTTTAGATATCGGTAGGTTTTCTTGACAGAACGAATTCTGATGTTTCAATAATGTAATACAGAAACATGATGTCATTTTAGACTGACTGTCTTTGCTATGTCGGGTTATTATTACACAAAGATAAAAGAGAAATTAATCAAATATATCAATATTTTTAGTCGATCTGTTGCTTAGTATAAATCTACAATAACCGAAAAACAAAGACTCAAGAGAAGTTAGAAAACATTACATGTTTATGTTATGAGATTGTTTCAAGTCTTTTTACAGACCACTGTATATCATTCAACTCAATTATGATCATTTCATAAATAAAATAAGTCAACGATGATAGAAGCATCTATTGTCAACCTAACGATCGTGATTATCACATCCTTGAAAAGTATCGTATACTAATATGCAAATGACACATCAGACGTTTCATACATAGATTAACATACCTGTTTCGACGACATTGGCTTGTCGACAAAAGACTAATTTTTGTATTTCTTCATTTTCTTCTGGTAAAATAAGAGACAGTTTGGTGATCGATGCAATGTATTGATCCATTTCATTGATGATTCCTTTTGGTGTAAATAATTGTTCGAACATATATTCAAATCTTCGTGCAATATTAACAATCGTTTTTTCTTCATACAGATCACGTGAGCAGACGAACTGACATGATAATCTACCATTATTCAATGTTGAATTGTAAATAAATGTCAACATGAAGTCAAATTTAGCCATTTCATAAGATCCTTCTAACGACATCTGCTTCAAATTTATTCCATTCAACGACAGATCATCGATGTTGGATGAAACAGTAATAAAATCAAATACTGTCTCAAGAAATGAAACATTCGATTGATTAACATGAAAATCTGCAAGAATATGTTGCAGAGGATAATGAGAATGTTCAAGAATTGATAAACAATTATCTCGAACATGTCTAACAAGATCATCGAATGGCCAATGAGAATCAAGTTGAATACGATAAGGTAATGTTGAAACAAACATTCCAATCATATTCTGTAATTCATCTCGATATCGATTAGCATTGATACAAGCAACACCTAAATCACTTTGACCATGAGTTAATTTGAGTAACAATGCATAAAAACAAGATAATCCAAGTTGGAAGAGTGTCAGATGATGTGATGATGCATAATTTAGAAATGAGGTAGAAAGATCATTATTAAAAGATATTTGAGTTGTAGATGCTAAACCTAATCGTTGATTTGTAGAGAGGCGGTGTTGATCGACTGGCAATGACAATTGACGTTCCAGATCGAATCGTTCAAGTTGTGTATGCCAAAAGTCACGAGATCGTGACATATTCATTTGATGTTCATAAACAGAATAATCAAGATATTGAAATGTATTATCATCCATAAGTAATGAACAATCATTCTCATAAGCAAGAGAAAAATCATGAAGAAAGATTGATGTCGAAGCTCCATCAAATGCTGAATGATGAATATTAAATAATATCATGTCATCATTTATCAATAGATCATCATCAACATATTCTAATGAAAGACGATAACGACGAAGAATATAACAATGAATAACATGTCCTCGAAATAAGTCAAATAATTGAGAATGATTTAATATTTCATCGATTGTTTTATCGATATTATCATTCTGAAGATTAATGATTTCGAATCCATATGATTTCATATCTTCACTCGAACTAATGGTATTCACTTGTTGCATAATAGTACCATTGCTATCAAAATAAAGTGCTGTGCGTAGAATATTATGTTTCATGATGACAGATTGTAATGCATGATGTAATCCAGTAATCGATACATGACTTTGGAGAGATGAAATACGATAAAGTAATGGAATAGCATAGATCATATTGTTAGTTTGAGATGAAAAACGAATTTGTTCATCAAGAAATATTCGTTCTTGAGCAAATGATGCTCGAGCTAAGATGTGTGAGAAAGGAAATGATGAGAAAAGAGTCTTTTTGTGACCTACCTTGGGTGAGATATAATGAAGACCAACAATCTTGGAGATGTTGTTCTACAGTCATAGCTTGATGAATGAGTTGAGCATGATGAGAGATTGTTGGATATTGAAATAGAACAGTAATAGAAAGAGATTTTGTTTCTAAATGAAATCTTGTTTTGTATTGATGATAGAGTTGCATAAGTAGAAGAGAATGACCACCGATTGTGAAGATATTTTTATCGATTGAGATTTGATTCAGATGTAGAGTATCACACCAAAGAGTATGAATTAGGGCTTGAATTTCATCATTAGGTAGTTTGATTTCTAGATTATTTGTCTGATTTAACGGTAAAAGATGAGCAGAGGAAGGAGAAGGAAGAAGCTTTCGGTCTATTTTTCCATTTGCATTCAAAGGTAATTTGTCAAGTATAATGAATAGTGATGGAATCATATGATGTGGAAGATGTGATTGACAATGTTCTCGTAATTCGTTTTCATTAATATCTAAACTTTTTTGAACATACGCAACCAAATGATCATAATCCCATTTAATCACAACACAAGTAGAGATTGATGTATGTTCAAGTAAACATTGTTCTATTTCACCAAGTTCAATGCGTTGTCCATGTAATTTGATTTGATGATCCTTTCTTCCTCGATAATGAAGTCGAGCATTATCATCCATCTGAACAAGATCTCCTGTTCGATAGAATATTTTACCATTGATGTCAACTAACGCTTTCCCTGTTAAATCATCACGTCCAAGATAACCAACAAAGACACCTACACCTCCTACAAATAATTCACCTTCTTGACCTACGATAGAAGATTGTAAGAATTCATCCATGATCACACATCGGTAATTAGGAAATGCTAGTCCAATTGGAATGCTGTTTTTATCGGCTATAACATCAATCAAATGAAACGTAGAATCTACTGTTGCTTCAGCTGGGCCATACATATTCCATATGAGACAGTTTTTCATACAATTACTTACGATTAAATTAACTAATTTGACCGAAAAAGGCTCGCCTACAAATGGAAGAATACAACATAAAAGGTAATGAATTTCATCTGAAAGACACATACCACCACTGCAAACTGATCGCAGGTATTTCATAGAGTTGTGGTGCATAGTCTGTTGTAGAATAATGCACAAGCTGTAGAGTAGACTTGGTACGGTAGCAATATAAGTAATCTGTTTCTCAATCATAGTTTTAATAAGATAATGAAAATCGATATTTCCTTTTGGATGTAGCATAGCCAATGTGGCTCCAATCATCAATGTTCCCATCACATCTAGAACGTGAACGTCAAATGAACATCGAGCCATCTGTACAGCGATATCCTTCTCATTGATTGCATCAATATGCACCAAAGAACACATGAATTCAGTAAAATTTCGCTGTCGAACTTGGACCTAAAGCAAATTAGATAATACCATTATTTCATTGAACGATGTTCTTAATTACTAACCGCTTTTGGTATTCCAGTTGAACCGCTAGTAAAAATGATGTAAGCAATATTGTTTAGTGTTATCGGGATGCTTGATAGTCGATCAATATGACCCTCCACAGCATTGTCCGTCAATATTAAATCAATATCAAGAGAGATAACATCATTATTAAATTTAGTTTTTGTGAGATGATGGTTAAGAACAAGACGACTTTGAGTTTGTTGTAAAAGTGCACATAAGCGGTGTTGTGGATCTCGGGGTGACAATGGACAATACACACCACCCACCATCTCAATTGCCATCATTCCAATCACCTAAAGAAAATATTCATCTTTCTTTTCTCTTCGATAAACTCTTACCATTGATAAACTTCGTTCCACACATTGACAAACAATCTCTCCTACAATCAATCTTTGTTGATTCAAAAGATTCAAAGATAAAACTTGAACATAATATAAAAGTTCAGAATATGTTAGCGATTGATCATCAAGTTCAACAGCTAGTTTTTGTGGATGTTTTATTGCTTGATTGACAAACTGATGATGAATACATGTGAAAGAAGGAAATAACACTTCTGTATTATTCATTGACTTCATAAGTAAGTTTTCATCTGCTGATATTAATGATAATTCATAAATTGATTTCTTCATATGATCATCATCGTAGAAGAAAAAGAGTTGCTGTAACATTGAATGAAATTGTTGTGAAATCTTTTCAATTGTCTTTGTATCAAATAAATCTCTTGATGCATTAATTGTACACGACAGTTGATTCATCTGTGAATCATGTTGAATAATAAGATTAAAATCGACCTTACTCATTACTTCATCTTCACTAATCTTGTTTGAGAAAGGCATCGAACAAAGCTGAGTATCTCCAATAATTATTTTATTTTTTCTCTTTTCACTTCCATTGGATTGAAATTCAAATGATACATCAAGAAATGCAGCTTTTGAAATATTTGGATGTTGATTGAGAATACGTTGAAGAGGAAAATAAGAATATTCTAAACTATGCATTGTGATCTCTTGAACATGCTCAAGTAATTGATGAAAAGACCAATGAGAATCTAATTGACATCGTAAAGGAATAATATTGTCAAATATTCCAATGATTGACATTAATTCTTCTTTGAATCGAGTATTTGTATTCATTCCAATACATAAATCTTTTTCTCCATTAGTTAACTTGAATAAGAATGCATAAAAACAGGTATATGTTAGATGTTGAAGTGTAACATTATTTGATGATGAATAAGTAAGAAACCTATGCGAAAGATGTTCACCATAGTCGAAAGAAATCGATGTGCTTTGGCCACTTCGATTTTCATTGTTGAGACGATATCGATCAAATGGTAATGGTAATGATTGATCGAGTTTAGAATTCTGAAGAGCATCATGCCAAAACATACTAGCAGCAGCCATAGAGATTTGTTGTTCAATGTGAGCATCTAAACAAGAATAAAGATAAGGAAATGAAAGAGAAGATATGTTTATATTTACAATCAAGATAACGTAGATTAGTATTGTCATCAAATGATACTTGATCTGTTGTATACGCTTGATTGAGATCATGAAGAAAAACATCCATTGATAGAGAATCAAACATAGCATGATGAAAATTGAAAATAAGTAGATTTTCATCCGAAAGAAGATCATTTAAAGAGATTCGTTTGTAGTAAACAAGATGACAGCGAAAGACAAGACCTTGAGCAAGATGGAAGAGTTGAGAATTTCTTTGTTCATCATGAATAATATGAGTGGATAGATCATCTGTTTCAAAAATACTTTCAATAAATGGAAATAAATTGTTGCTATTATCATTGAAGTGAATGATTTGTTGAATGAGTTGATTGTTTTGTTTATCAAAGTTGAGTGAAGTGCGAAGTGATTGATGTTTGATGATAATTTTGAGTAGTGCTTGTCGAAGTTGTGTGACTGATAAAGTATGACCCGATGATAAACGAAAGAGAAAAGGCATATTGTAGATTGCTACGTGTGATTTGTCAGAGTGAAAATGAATTTGTTCATCGTGCCAAATACGAGCTTGTGCGAAGGAGGCTGGTGCTGCAAAAAACAATTATTTATCGAATTATTATAGAAATCATTTTAGACATCTCTTGAAACTCTTTTATACCTGAACTTAAATGATTAACACTTATGTATAATCGATCAATCCCTATCAGCAAAGTCGATGTATTATTCATTGTGGTCTACTCTAGCGTAAGTATTCATATCAGGATATGTTACCATTTTAAAAAGGTTCCCTTCCCCAGGTCGAGAGTTTCGACGATTGAATCTTGTCGGATCCGATTCAGATCCGATATCGGATTATGTCGGAAATAGTCGGAGTCCGACTTCATCCGGGCGGATTCTATCGGATTGAGTCCAAAATCCAGTGGCCCGGAATCCGACGAACATTTAATTGGGAAAGAATCTTGTCGGAACCGACACAAGATCTTATCGGAACCGAAACGTTCCGATGAACGGATCCGATAAAGTCACATCTGATCCTACAACGAAATTTAAGAGATCCGATAGGATCAGGTCGGATTTAAATCATTGGTGTTCTATACACAGGTCCGTGATTACGACGATCGTACTCTGATGAACATGGCAATACACATTATCGTTTACAACTGTATCTGGACGTAATACACTGTACCTAAGTCTAATGAGTCGAAAAGTCAGTCAACAGTGAAGCCTTACTTCTCTGTCATCAGACACATGCGCTTACACCTATAACTCTGTACCTATAGTCAAATGACTATACCCCTATACCTATACTCCTATGAGTATACCACTATACCAATAGTCCTATGATTATACCCGTATGATTATACCCCTATATCTATAGTCATATGATTATACCATTATACCTATACCCCTATGAGTATATTCCTCGAGCATTGAAATCATGCATTCGGTTAAATGTGTATAAAGGTAATCTCGTGCAACATTCTAATCAATATAATCCTTACGCACAGATTGTGAGAGCGAGATCAATTTTCAGTATGAGAATTCATCTGGTATCCATTGAAAAATAGCACACTGATAATCACGTTATAACAATTTTTCTCCATACTATTCAATTTTTTTTGCACGCTTGAGATTACTTTTCCTGAAATCTACAAAAACACTTTCTACCAGAAATGAATTTTATACAGATTATATGATGTATCGCAATCTGACAACTAATTTGTCGGAAATGGATGGAACCGACTGGATTCCCACAACTGGGTCCTATCGGATCCGTCCTTCGAATTTCATCAGAATCCGTGAATCGGAATATGTCAGAAAATATGGGAATCAAATGAGATCCGATAGTCGGAATCCTGTCGGATTCAGCCATCGGAATGCATCGGATTGAGACAGATCCGACAGAATTTGATGGAGCACTTTCGACCTGGGTTCTGTCAGTTTATCACAAATGCTTGCCAGTACTTGAGTATCTCAGTGTACTTTATGGGTAGTCGAAGGTTTCATTAGTATCATACTTTTGAATGTTTAATTTACTGAATTATTGAAAAATGCTGTATACTTTTACTATGATATATGGATAGCGTTCATATATTATTTTCGCTACAGAGTGAACTCATTCTTCATCTCTCGCGAAATCTTTTATAAATCACAAGAAATCATTCAGTCAAAGTGCATGTACATTTAACGGGTGGCCTATGATAAATGAGTCTCGCAATATTTTGACCCATAAATATTTTCCTGTTCAACCTTTCATTATGATTGTTTTGACAGAAGATGCACCGTCAAAATCGATTCAGAAACTCGATGAGACTCATTTCTATAAAAAGAAAAGGAGAAAGAATACATGAGAAAAATTCAAATCTTGGAAACGAACTAAGTTTCAAGACCGACAAATTGTTTTTGTCCTAATATTTTCACTGAGCTGAGTTATAAAACGAAGAGGGAATATAGAAATTTTATAGTCCTTAAAAAGCTCTATGAACAGTATGGAGTGGGTAAATACTAAATCAATCTTAGAGACGTTCACCGATTTCCCCTTTTTAAATTTGTTCCAAAAGAACTTAACTGTCTCAAACTGAGGAGTTTCTGGTAAATGTTGAATCACGAAGACAAAAGCACCTTTGAAGTTCAGATTTCTGTTACGTTGATAAGAAATAAATTCTGCGTTATTTTCAGTGGTGAAAGTTTGTCTGACAAGTAGCTTCTTACAATCAACGGGCACAAAATAAGAAACAGCAGATTTTGCGAATTTTCAACTGAATTTTTCGAAATGTTTGATTCCTTGAATGCTCATTTTAGATTGCATGAACTTTGAACCACGTGACAAGAAAGATCTCTCGTCCAAGTACTCAACAATTATAGATACCCTGAACCTTTTAAAGTCGAATATCTTTGAAAGTTGGGTTGTTTCTAGGTGTTGAGTATTCCTTATTTCACTGTTTCCTTAACTTTATATAGGAAAATGTCTAATAAAAATTTTCTTCAAAGAATTGGACAGCGTATATCTTCTGAAAAAGTAACGGATGGATGAATTAAAATAGAACTAATTTATAGTCAAAATACTAACAAGTTCATGTACTATCGTCCATTCATTAGAATATTCCATATACTCAAATTTCGAGCAATCGATCAGGGACATTCATTTCATTCGATTTCAATCAAGAGATCTATTTCACAATTTTGTTTAAATACTCTCGTCTACACAACACAGTGTCCAAGGAGCTTTACATATTTATGACCAGTCAAAAAATATCAAGGTTTAGAGTACAAGAAATTGAAACAACTTTAGCATAACCGACGTTTTAGAAAGAAATGAAATGAGATCAATATGTAATACTTAGTTCCATAAGGGAAGGAACACGAATGACGTTTTAAATTGTCTTATTGGACGTAAAAACAAAAAACCTCTAGTAAACCTCAGAACGTCCTGTTAAACGATGAACGCTTGTGAGCTTAGCTAGCAGCTCAGTTGTAAATAACTGTCACTATTATGATCATTTCACAAATTAAACCGTTTAACAATAGAAACATGTCTTCTCAACAAGCCAACATTTTTCATTATCATATCTTTGAAAAATATCCTATGCTGACATGCAAATGACATATCAAAAACTTCACGAATAGATTAACAAACCTCTGTCGATGATACTTGATTGTCGACAAAAGATTACTTCTTGCATTTCTTTAGTTTCTTCTGGTAAAATAAGGGACAGTTTGTTGATAGATGTGACACATTGGTCCATCTCGTTGGTAATTACTTTTGATGTACACAGTTGCTCGAGCAGATATGCAAATCTTCGTGCAATATCTGAAACCGTTTTCTCTTCATACAGATCACGTGAACAAACAAAAGAACATGATAATCTACCATCATCCAATGTTGGATTGTAAATAAATGTGAACATGAAATCAAATTTAGCCATTACAGATGATTGTTGTAATGACACTTCTTCTAAACTCGTACCATTCAAAGATAAGCCATCGATGTCCGATGGCACAGCAATGAAATCAAATACTAATTCGAGAAAAGGAACATTCGATTGATTAAAATGAAAATCAGCAAGAATATGTTGCAATGGATAATGAGAATGTTCTAGAATTGATAAACATTTTTCTCGTACATGTTTAACAAGTTCATCGAATGTCCAACGAGGATCAACGCGAATACGATAAGGTAATGTTGAAACAAACATTCCAATCATACTTTGTAATTCACTTCTATATCGATTAGCATTGATACCAGCAATACATAAATCATTTTGACCATGAGTTAATTTGAACAGAAATGCATAAAATAAGGTCAGGCCTAGTTGGAATGGTGTGACTTGATGTGAAGAAGCATAATCGAGAAATGATGTAGAAATATCATTGTTAAAACAGATTTCAGCTATAGAAGACAAACCTGATCGCTGATCATTAGATGAATGTTGTCGATCAGTTGGTAACGACAATTGACGTTCAAGATTGCATCCTTCAAGGTGTGAATACCAAAAGTCATGCGATACTGTCATATCTATTTGATGTTCATAAACAGAATAATCAATGTATTGAAATGTATCATCATTCATAGGTAGCGAACAATTACTTTCATATGCAAGAGATAAATCACGAAGAAAAATTGATCTAGAAGTTCCATCAAATGCTGAGTGATGAATATTAAATAATATCATATCATCATTTATCAATAGATCATCATCAATTTCTAATGAAAGGCGATAATGACGAAGAACATGACAATGAATAACATGTCCTTTTGATAAGTCAAATAAATTCGAATGATTTAATACTTCATTTATTGTTTTACCAATACTATCATCCTGAAGATTAATTATTTCTAATCCATAAGATTTCATATCATCAATATCACTACTAGTATTCACTTGTTGCATAATAGTACCATGAATATCAAAATAAAGTGCTGTACGTAGAATGGAATGTTTTATGATGACAGATTGTAATGCACGATGTAATCGAGTAATTGATATATGATTGTCCACAGATGAAACTCGATAAAATAATGGAATAGCATAAATCATACTGTTATTTTGAGATGAAAAACGAATTTGTTCATCAAGAAATATTCGTTCTTGAGCAAATGATGCTTGACCTAAAATATGTCGGAAAGGAAATGATGAGAAAGATTTCTTTTTTTTCGTCTACCTTGAGTGAGATGTAATAAAGACCAACAATCTTCGAAATGTTGTTCAATATTCATAGCTTGATGAATGAGTTGAGCATGATCAATCATTGTTGGATATTGAAATAGATCAGAAATAGAAAGAGATTTTGTTTGTAAATGAAATCTTGTTTTATATTGATGATGAAGTCGCATGAGTAGAAGAGAATGACCACCAATTGTAAAGATGTTGGTATCGATTGAAATTTGTTTTTGATGAAAAATGTCACACCAAAGAGGCCATTCACACATTACGTCATCACTAGGGGGGGGGGGGGGGGGGGCCCGCCAAAAAGTGACAACTGATGACAGGGGGGAGGGGTCGACCGATAAAATGACGTCATCATGATTTTTTTTTGTTGCCTGATAAATAAAGCGCAGGTGGAGCCCTCTTTTGTGTTAAAACGTGTAAAATTTAACATGAATGATGATTGGAGAGAAACAGAAGCCCAATCAGACTACTATAGTTGTGTTCTGTTATTGTTCTCTAATAGAGAATAGAACACACAGTTTTACCCTTTTATTTTTCACAGATATCATCATCAACATCGTCGACAACAACATCTGGTCGATTTTCAAGACCAACAACTGCTCGATGACCCTCGACAACATAAGCCGGTCGATTAGGGTGTGGGTGTGGGTGTGGGTGTGGGTGTGAACAACTGCCATGACC